AGCTCTCGCTCTCTCTCTCTCTCCCTCCCTCTCTCTCTCTCTCTCTCTCTCTCTCTCTCTCTCTCTCTCTCTCTCTCTCTCTCTCTCTCTCTCTCTCTCTCTCTCTCTCATTCTCTCTTTCTCCCCCCCCCCTTCTCTTTCTCATTCTCTTTCTTTCTCTTTCTCTGTCTCTCTCACTTCTCTCTCTCTCTCTCCCTCTCTCCCTCACTTCCTCTCAAGAAACACACCATCTCCCTCTCTCCTCTACCCCTCATTTCCCCCCCCACCCCACCCAGAACCATACCCCCACGCCCTCATTTTCCCCTCACCTCCCCCCCCTTTCCAGAGACCCCCGACTTCAACGTAGGCGTGGACAGCAGTTTCCCCTCGAGCATCTGTTCCCCTCACGAAGTCCAGAATCCTACGAGTCTGCAGGCCAGGACGCAGGATCCCACAGAGTCTAGTTCTCAGACTGCCTTTCCTCCGTCTGCTCATCTCTCTTCTTCTCCTTTGGCGAGTAAGTGGTGGGCGTGGCTTGTTGTGTTTTGTTTTGTTTGTGTATTTTTACGTGTGTGTGTTTTTTTTCTTGTGTGTGTGTGTTTTTTTTTGCCTGTGTGTTTTTTTTAGTTTGGTTTTGGTTTTGTTTTTCGTGTTTTTTGTTTTTGGTTTTGTTTGTTTGCTTGTGTGTTTGTTTTGTTTAATTATTTCTTGTTTTTTATTTTGTTTTCGTGTTTATTTTTTTCGTATTTTTTGCCTGTGTTTTTTTTGTTTTTTGTTTGTGTTTTTGTTTTGTTTTATTATTTATTGTTTTTTATTTTGCTTTCGTGTTTATTTTATGTTTAGTTTTATCTGGTTATTTTTTTATGTTAGTTTCGTTTTATCATTTCATGTTTTTTTTATACACCTGGTTTGATTATTTGATAAGGTATGCTAGTCATCATAAATATCATCATTGTTACTGTTATCATTATTATCATTGTTATTATTATTAGCATTATCATTATATAATCATTTTCATTATTATTTTTATTATCATCATTAGCATTACTATTATTATCATTTTATCGTCATCATTATGACCATTGTCATAACCACAGCTATAATAATGATAATGACAGTCAAAATGATAATGATAATAATAGCAATGATAATGACGATTATCTGTCATGATGCTGATGATGATGACAATAAAGATGATAAAGATAGTAATAATAGGAATTATATAAATAATAATGATAACAGTAATGATAATAGTGATTAATGATTATGCCTATGATCATGTATCACACGATATGTAGATGTGTTTGTATATGCAAATTAATTTAGATGTATTCCTAGCCATTTCTCTCTTCTTTTCTTTTTTATATAATATTCCTATCACTCTTTTTTTCCCCACACCAAATTTGATGTTGTTAAATGCGAAATTTGAAATCCGTAGTTTTTTTCCCGACGAATAAACGCTGGGAAAGTCTACGGGATCAACACGCCTCTTCTCAGACAATTAGTCCTGCCATCTTTGCAACATCACTAAATATATCATTACGAGTTTTCTACGAATGAGTGAATATATCAAAAGACTAAATCTATTATATAAAGCAATTAGGATAATCTTATATTATTTTTCTCAATTTAATAATTTCCTTTCGACCTGTTGCACTGGTGAGAAAATGCATTCCTCAAAGTTGCATAATGGCACGATAAGCAAGGACGCTTTAAAGCCTTGAACTATTGATTTAGAAATTAAAAAAAAAAACGGAGCTTTGGATTACCATAAAAAATATATCTACATATATATATATATATATATATATATATATATATATATATATATATATATATACATATATATATATTTTACTATTAAATATACCATAATTCATCAACTATAATTATTATCATTACTACTATGTTTTACTACTACTATTGCTTCTACTACCACCATTATTTCTACTTTTACTACTACTATAACTACTGTTGCTAATTACTACTACTACAACTACAACTCCCCACTACTACAGCTACTACTACTACTACTACTAGTAATGCTACAACCCCAACACTTATTGCTATTACTACTATTATTACTACTGCTATTACTCCTCTTCCTCCTCCTTCTCTTCTTCCTTCTCTTCCTCCTCCTTCTATTCCTCCTCCTTCTCTTCTCCCTTCTCTTCCTCTTCCTTCTCTTCCTCCTTTTCTTCTTCCTTCTCATTCTCCTACTTCTCCTCCTACTGCTATTATGATTTCTATTACTACTAATACTAAAAATGATGATGATAATAATAATGATGATAATAATGATAATAATAATGACAATGATAGTAATAATTATAGTCAACGATAATGATAATAATAACAATAATGATAATAATTATAATAATAATAATAATAATGATAATAATAATGATAATAACAATAATACTGATAATGATAATGATAATAATGACAATAATGACAATAATGATAATAATAATAATGATGATAATGATAATAATAATAATAATAATAATAATAATGATGATGATGATGATGATGATGATGATGATGATGATGATGATAATGATAATAATAATAATAATCCAAAATCTCCTTCCCCAGTTCCGGACCCGCGTTCCATCCTCACGCAAGACACACCAGTGGTCAGTCCTCATCACTTAGTGGACGTTATTCCCCCTCATATATCTCCGAGCCCTCAGCAACAACAACAACAACAGCAACAACAACAGCAGCAGCAACAGCAACAACAACAACACCAGCAATTGCAACAACAACAACAGCAAGGGTTGTTGCCTATTGTTAAGCAGGAGGAACCGGCGTCACAGCCTGATTCTACACAACCGAGGCTTGAGGGTATGTAATGATGATAATGATGATGGTGATGATGATGATGACTCGATAATTTTGATAACTATGGAAATAATGACGATGGAAATAATGGTAATGATGATAACTCAATTGGGTGTAAAGGAAATATCCATGTCTCAAATAATGATGATGATGATGATAATAATAATAATAATAATAATAATAATAATAATAATAATAATAATAATAATAATAATAATAATAATGATGATAATAATAATAATAGTAATAATAATAATAGCAGTAATAATGATATTAATAATAACAATGATGATCATAAAAATAATAACAGAATAATAATAATGTTAATAATAGTAATAATAATAATATTGATGATAATAACAATGATAATAATAATATTAACAATAATAATAACAAGACTAATACTAGTACTAATGATATCATAATCTAATGTTAATACTAATATTAATACTACTACTACTACTACTAATCATAATAATAAGGATAATAAAAGTAATAACAACAACATCAATATAAAAAAACAACATCATTCAATATATTCCTCAGGTACAGCGGAAAGTTCAGAAGAAGAAGAAGACGAAGAAAGCAGAAGAGGAGGAGGAGGAGGAGGAGGAGAAGGGGAAACGAACAATAAAAAAAGGAAGAGGAGGATTTTGTTCAGCAAAGCCCAAACTTACGAACTGGAGCGTAGATTTCGTCAGCAGCGGTATCTTTCGGCGCCTGAGAGAGAGCACCTGGCGTCTATTATTAACTTGACGCCGACGCAGGTAAGGCCCTGAGGCTGAGATGTGGTTGTTTTCGTTGTTGTTGTTTTTATTTTCGTTGTTGTTTATTTATTTTGTCTTATTTCCTTATTTTTTTGTTTTTTTCCCGACCCAGGTAAGGTCCTGAGGCTGAGGTGGTTGTTTTTGTTGTCGTTGTTGTTGTTGTTATTGTTTTTATTTTCGTTATTGTTGCTGTTGTTGTTATTTGTTTATCTATTTTGTCTTATTTCCTTACTTTTTTGTTTTTTTCCCCGACGCAGGTAAGGTCCTGAGGCTAAGGTGGTTGTTTTTGTTGATGTTTTTATTTTCGTTATTGTTGTTGTTTCTTGTTTTTTTTCCCGACGCAGGTAAGGTGCTGAGGCTAAGGTGGTGGTTGTTTTTGTTGTCGTTATTGTTGTTGTTGTTGTTTGTTTATCTGTTTTGTCTTATTTCCTTACTTTTTTGTTTTTTTCCCCCGACGCAGGTTAGGTCCTTAGGTTAAGGTGGTTGTTTTTGTTGTTTTTGTTGATGTTTTTATTTTCGTTGTTATTGCTGTTGTTATTTTATTATTTATTTTGTCTTATTTCTTGACTTTTTTTCCGACGCAGGTAAGGTCCTGAGGCTAAGGTGGTTGTTTTTGTTGTTGTTGTTGTTGTTATTGATTTTATTTTCGTTATTGTTGTTATTTATTTATTTATTTTGTATTATTTCATTTCTTTCTTGTATTTTTCCCTTTTTTATTCCCTTTTTTGTCTTATATTCATAAATGTTTCTACTAATGGAAGGTAAAAAATATTATTATTTTTAAATGTCGAAATTTCCCGTCGTTTCCTTTATTTTTGGATAAATATGAATGCCTAAGTTTCTGAGTTTCTAGTCATTTTCTACATTTCTAAATGGATGTAAATGTTTAAATGTCGAAATTTCCAATAATTTCTTAATAAATAATTTCTTAATAAATATATGTCTGAATTTCTAAATTTCCTATCGTTTTCTGTATTTCTAAGTGAATATAAGTGTCTAAATTTTCCAAATTTTCTAAATGAATATAAATATTTATATTTCTATGCTTCCAATCATTTTCTCTACTTCTAAATAAATGTAAATGTCCAAATATCTGAATCTCCTAGATGCAAGTGTCTAAATATCTAAATTCCCTAAATGAACACAAATGTTTAAATTTCTACATTTTCTAAGTGAATATAAACGTCTAAATTTTCGAAATGAATGTAAATGTCTGTCTTTATATTTATTTTTTTTTACTAAATGAATATAAACATCTAACTTTTCGAAATGAATGTAAATCTCTAAAATTTTCTGAAAGTTTCTAAATGAATATAGATGTCAAAAGTAACTAATTCCTTAACCCTCCCTCTCCCTCTCCCCCTTCTCCCCCCCCCCTTTCTCCTCTCCCCCTTCTCACCCCCCTTTCCCCCTTCTCCCCCACGCAGGTGAAGATCTGGTTCCAGAACCACCGCTACAAGACGAAGAAGCAGAGAACCGACCGTAGCATGGAGATCACCCCCCTGGCCTCCCCCCGTCGCGTACCCGTGCCCGTGTTGGTACGTGACGGAAAACCCGTACCCGTGCACCACCCCCCTCCCTCCCAGTTCAACACCCCGCCCTCCTACCCGCCCTCGTTCCTCGACGTGGGCGGGTACTACCAGCAAGCGACCGCCCACATGAGAGGCATCGCTACCCCGTCCTTGCCTCACTCCACCTACGCGTCTATGGGGATGATGTCCGCCGCCGCCTACAGTAGCCCGGGTCTCCAAGGGCAGTACGGTAGTCACGCCCTCACGCCCGCAGTCACTTCCGCCGCCACCCTGCACTACGCGCCGCCCCCCACGATGACGGAGGCTCCTGACCCCTCCTTCGCCCCTTCGCAGTACACCGCCCCGGGGTTCTCCTACTCGGCGCAGACGTAAGGGAGAGGGGGAGGGAGGGAGGAGAGAAGAGAGAGGGGGAGGAGAGAGGGGGAGGGTGGAGGGAGAGGGAGGTGGGAGGGAGAGGAGAGGGGGAGGGAGAGGGAGAGGTGGGGGAGGAAGGAGGAGAGAGGGAGAGGGAGAGGAGAGGTGGGGGAGGAAGGAAGAAGGAGAGAGGGGAGGGGAGGAGAGGAGAGGAGGGAGAGGAGGGAGGAAGGGAGGGAGAGGGAGTAGTGGGGGAGGTAGAGGGAGAGGGGGAAGAGAGTGGTGGGGGAGGAAGGAAGGATTAGAGAGGAGGAGGAGGAGGGAGAGGAATGGACGTGGAGTGAGAAAAAAGGGAGAAAGAAGGAAGTAAGGAAGGAAGGAAGGAGACGTAGAGAAAAAGTGAATGGGGGAGAAGGACGGAAAAGGAACGAAATTGAGATAGGAGAAAGGAAAATAGAGAACAGAAGACGCAAGGGATAGGAGGACAAGAGGGAAGGAAAGAGAGAGAGAGAGGAGAGAGAGAGAGAGAGAGAGAGAGAGAGAGAGAGAGAGAGAGAGAGAGAGAGAGAGAGAGAGAGAGAGAGAGAGAGAGAGAGAGACAGGATAAAGAAGGAAGGGAGAGGGAGAGAAGGAAAATAAAAGAGGAGAGAAAAGAAAAGGACTCAACTCATCTTTAAATACGAAATACTTTCACTAATACAGACGAAACTCATTCTCATTTTCTATATTTTTAAGTTGATGGAGGGGGGTACTAATACAAAATAAAAAATCCATCCTACAAAACACTAAAATATCCAAAATGACGAGACCTGCTACTTCATCAATAGCCCCCTTCCCTCCCCCCTCCTCCTCCTCCTCCCCTTCGTCCACTCTTCCTATTGATAAAAACGATCCTCGATATAATACAACCTCCTATTGACTACCATCGCTAGCAACACTCCCAGCTCGCTATTCCTCTGCTAGTCGGGAGATCGTAACTAGCACATATTACAGCGCTTCCCTTTAATCTGGTTAAGTCTTTCAATGGCATGTGTGACTAACTGCACGGTTTCCCAGATGATAAAAATGGACAAGGTATAACCCTCATGTAAATGAGCCTTTGAGAATTTTCATAGGAATCTTGGAAGAAAATCTAAATAGTAAATGATTTTTAAGTACGTAATCTCCATCAGTCTCTCTCTCTCTCTCTCTCTCTCTTTTTATATATATTAAGACCTGCTATTCACATCATTTCAGATTATCGTAGAAGAAGAAGAAGAAGAAGAAGAAGGGGAAGGGAAAAGATAAGATGGAGTTAGGAAAAGAGATTAAGTGAGTGGTACTGAACTCGGTGACTGTGTGGTAATATGTTTTTAACCCTACATTCAATCTCTTTCTCTCTGTCTGTCTGTCTGCCTTTCTGTTTCTCTCTGTCTCTCTGTCACTCTCTCTGTGTGTCTGTCTGTTTCTCTCTCTCTCTCTCTCTCTCTCTTTCTCTCTGTCTATCTGTCTGTCTGTCTGTCTTTCTCTCTCTCTCTCACTCTCTCTCTCTCTCTCTCTCTTCTCTCTCTTTCTTTCTCCTGCTCATCACTGTCAACAGTATTAGCTCCTTAATCATTTTGATCAGGTTTTGAGTTTATATATTTTTGTCTTCATCATCACTTTCTAAGAAAAAAATAACAGTTAAAGGAAGTAAAAAAAAAAATATCCACTATAAAAAGGAATAAAATATATCATTGAAATAAATATATATAAAGGTATAGTAAAAGCGATATCAGTGTTAATAAATAGAACCACGAGTAACCCAGATCACGTGAGTAAGCAAATCGATGAGTAATTGAGTACGAGGAACTCCCCTCCCCCCCCCCCCCCCCCCCCTCTCCCACCTTCAGTGAAAGTAGAAACAAACAAACAAATCATTCATAGGCAGAATGGGGATACAGAAGGGCAATTTTGAATGAGAAAGAAAACGGGAGTGTTGAATGAGAGAGAAAACGGGGAAGTATTGAATGATAAAGAAAACGGGGAAATATTGAATGAGA